TGTCCTATTCGGACTCCCCTTGGGGGGGGAGGGTTCCACCTCCTGGTGAGGCCCTCTCTCTCTCCCCTATAGGCCCACTAAGGCCCATTACTTCCCGGGGGGGGGTCCGGTAACCCTCCGGCACTCCGGTTTTATCCGAAATTATCCGGAACACTTTCGGTGTCCGAACAACATAGTCCAATATATCAATCTTTATGTATCGACCATTTCGAGACTCCTCGTCATGTCCGTGATCTCATCCGAGACTCCGAACAACCTTCGGTACATCAAATCACATAAAGTCATAATACCAATCATCATCAAACGTTAAGCGTGCGGACCCTACGGGTTCGAGAACTATGTAGACATGACCAAGACTCATCTCCTGTCAATAACCAATAGCGGAACCTGGATGCTCATATTGGTTCCTACATATTCTACGAAGATCTTTATCGGTCAAATCGCATAACAACATATGTTGTTCCCTTTATCATCGGTATGTTACTTGCCCAAGATTTGATCATCGGTATTATCATACCTAGTTCAATCTCGTTACCGTCAAGTCTATTTACTCGTTTTGTAATACTTCATCCCGCAACTAATTCATTAGTCACAATGCTTGCAAGGCTTATATTGATGAGTATTACCGAGAGGGCCTAGAGATACCTCTCCGAAACACGGAGTGACAAATCCTAATCTCGATCTATGCCAACCCAACAAACACCTTCAGAGACACCTGTAGAGCACCTTTATAATCACCATTTTACGTTGTGACGTCTAGTAGCACACAAAGTGTTCCTCCGATATTCGGGAGTTGCATAATCTCATAGTCTGAGGAACTTGTATAAGTCATGAAAAAAACAGTAGCAATGAAACTGTAATGATCACAATGCTAAGCTAACGGATGGGTCTTGTCCATCACATCATTCTCCTAATGATGTGATCCCGTTCATCAAATGACAACACATGTCTATGGTTATGAAACATAACCATCTTTGATTAACAAGCTAGTCAAGTAGAGGCATACTAGGGACACTATGTTTTGTCTATGTCTTCACACATGTACTAAGTTTCCGGTTAATACAATTCTAGCATGAATAATAAACATTTATCATGATATAAGGAAATATAAATAACAACTTTATTATTGCCTCTAGGGCATATTTCCTTCATCTCCGCCTCCACGACCAGGACGGCGCTGACGAGCCCGTGCTGGCCAAGGTTTAACCCTAGGTCAATCCGGGCCTCCCCCGTTGCCACGATGACCTGGGCATTGGTTTCCTCCTGCTGTGCGGCGGCAGTGAGGGCGGCGACGGCTGCCGCTTCGTCCCTTGCGTCATGTGTGTGTGTCCGACCCTTCCTCTTGGCCGACTGCACGACCCGCTCCTCGGCCATCGGCTTCTTCTTCTTGGGCGGCGCCGCGGTCTTTGCGGGGGGCGCGCTGCTTTCCTTTGGCGGAGGCGACAGAGGTGAGGCTGGACCAGGCGAGGCCGGCGGCGACATCGAGGGTCGGTGCGTCGTCCATGGCCGGGAGCGTGAGCGGGCGGGAGGGTTTTGGGAAAGTGGAGGAAAATGGTGGTCGTTGTGGCACCGACTGACGGGCCAGGGGGAGGAGTAGGTGCGCATCGCGCGCGTCCGTTTCTTGTCCGCGCCGACGCAAATGAGACTCAAACTTGGGTCGGAAATGGGTCGACATGCGAACGAAAAGCGGACGCACGCCCCGTTTGTGTCGGCGCATTGGGCCTACTTTTCTGTCCGCGATGACCCAAACGGACACGTGTGGACAAAATGGGTCGGCGCGGTGGAGTTGCACATATGACAGTTATCTCTGGAATTAGAACCAGGGCAGCAAATTTTACATGTAATTTTTATGTTTAAAAGGCCATGCCTATATGCAATGATTCAACCCCATGACCAAATCTGTATCCCCACAGACTCTGGTATTTTCGATGAATAAAATGTGCCTTCATTAAAAAAGAAAAAGAACTCGACACGAAACCGCCTTGACTTGAGAAACCGACTTCGCCTCCGAGCCGTGTATGATTTGGGCCCTAATAAATGTACATTATACTCGAGCAACAACGCATCCACGCCGACTCTGACGAATCTTCGTTCTCTCGCCGCGGCGCGAACTCCCACCGCCGGCGCCCGCGCACCCATGACGAAGGCGAGCCCGGCCGACGCGGCGAGCGAAGGGATCCGAAGGCTCACCTATCTATCCCTCGTCTCCAAGGTCTCCTCGGAGCTGGAGGCCCACCTCGGCGACGTCCAACGCAACGTCGCCGAGTTCATCGTCCACCTCGGCCGCGCCTCCCCCTCCGTCGCCGAGTTCGACGCCAAGCTCAAGGACCACGAGTTCGTCGTGCCGGACTACCTCGCCCGCACCCTCCACACCGTCATCCGCGCCATCCCCGACGCCGCTCCCGCCCCCGCCCCCCGAAACCCCACCGCCGCTCCCGCCCCCGCCCCCCGAAAACCCACCGCCGATGGCGATGAGGAGGAGGAGGACGAGGGGGAGGATGGGGCTGGCGGTCCGGAGCTTCACCAGGTGTGCCACGGGACGGTCATCCGGGTGGTGGACGCCGGGTGCTTCGTCCGCCTCGACGGGGCGCGCGGCCGCGAGGGGCTCGTCCACACCTCCCGGATGCCCGCCGCCGTGAAGCGCGGCCAGGAGGTGTTTGTCAAGGTCGTATCCGTGCAGTGGGGCAATCTGGAATTGTCGATGGTGGACATCGATCAGGAAACTGGAAGGGCGCTCCCGCCACCACGGCGTGATGGTCAGGATGCTGTTCGGAGGGCGAATCGATCTGCTGGTCCTGCCGGAACCTCTGGGAAGAGGATTGGGCTGTCTGGAATTGTGATTGAGGAGGACGGTGCTCGGCCTGCACCACGAAGGCCGGTCAGGCGAATGAGCTCCCCGGAGAGATGGGAGCTGAAACAGCTGATTGCTTCGGGGGCACTGAATGTGAGAGACTGCCCTGCGATCGATGATGATGATGGGGGGATACATTACCAGGAAGAAGCAGAAGAAGTAGAGGAGGAGCTCGAGATTGAGCTTAACGAAGATGAGCCGCCGTTCTTATCTGGACAGGGCCGGTCCTCGATTGACTTGTCCCCGGTGAGGATTTCCAAGAACCCTGAGGGGTCACTGAGCCGAGCGGCGGCACTGCAGACTGCGCTTTTCAAGGAACGGCGTGATATTCGTAGTCAGGAGCAGAGAGCATTGCTTGATTCCATCCCCAAGGATCTGAATCGGCCGTGGGAGGATCCTTTACCTGATGCAGGTGGGCGGTGCCTCGCACAGGAACTGAGGGGTGCCGGCTTATCAGCACAGAGCATGCCGGAGTGGAAGAAACGGGCTTATGGGAAGACCGGAACATTTGGGAAGAGGTCGAGCCTTCCGATACAGGATCAGAGGCAGCAGCTTCCCATTTACCGTCTGAAGAATGAGCTTGTGAAAGCTCTACATCACCATCAAGTTTTGGTTGTTATCGGGGAGACAGGGTCAGGGAAAACTACGCAGGTTACTCAGTACCTTGCTGAGGCAGGCTATACTGAAGCTGGAAAAATTGCGTGTACGCAGCCTCGCAGGGTTGCTGCGCAGTCTGTTGCAAAGCGGGTAGCAGAGGAGTTTGGTTGCCCATTGGGAGAGGAAGTTGGTTATTCTATACGCTTTGACGATCGAACTGGACCTGATACGGTCATTAAGTACATGACAGACGGCATGCTCCTACGGGAGATTATGGTAGACAAGAACCTCTCTTGTTATTCTGTGGTCATGCTTGATGAGGCACATGAGAGGACCATCTATACAGACATTCTCTTTGGCTTGCTGAAGCAGCTCATTAGGCGGAGAACTGATCTCAAGTTAATTGTCACTTCCGCCACTCTTGATGCAGAGAAATTCTCTAGATATTTTTTTAATTGCAACATTTTCACGATTCCAGGGAGAACGTTTCCCGTGGAGATACTATATGCAAAGGAGCCACAGAGCGATTACATGGATGCTGCATTGATCACAGTATTGCAGATCCATCTGAGTCAACCCGAAGGTGATATCCTCTTGTTCTTGACAGGCCAGGAAGAGATTGATCAGGCCTGTAACTCTCTTCATGAGAGGATGAAGGTGCTGGGTAACGATGTACCAGAGTTGCTAGTCAATCCAGTTTACAGTGCTCTTCCAACTGAAATGCAGTCAAAGATTTTTGAACCTGCTCCTCTTGGGAAGAGGAAGGTGATTGTGGCCACCAACATAGCCGAAGCATCTATTACGATAGATGGGATATACTATGTTGTTGATCCAGGCTTTGCAAAACTCAATGTGTATAACCCGAAACGAGGACTGGATTCACTGGTTATCACTCCGATCTCACAGGCATCAGCTAAACAAAGAGCAGGACGTGCTGGGCGTACGGGCCCAGGCAAGTGTTACCGTCTGTACACTGAGAGCGCCTATCGTAATGAAATGCCCGCCACGACTATTCCAGAAATTCAGAGGATTAACCTGGGGTGGACGGTTCTTAATATGAAGGCAATGGGGATAAATGAACTAGTGTCATTCGACTTCATGGACCCTCCAGCACCTCAAGCACTTATCTCTGCTATGGAACAGCTATACAGCCTTGGTGCCTTGGATGAAGAAGGCCTACTTACCAAGCTGGGGAGAAAGATGGCTGAGTTTCCACAAGAACCACCACTTTCAAAAATGCTCCTTGCCAGTGTGGACCTCGGATGCAGTGATGAAATAGTGACTATCATTGCAATGATCCAAACTGGCAATATATTCTACCGGCCAAGGGAAAAACAAGATCAGGCAGATCGGAAGAGGGGCAACTTTTTCCAGCCAGAAGGGGATCACATCACATTACTCACTGTGTATCAGGCGTGGAAGGCAAAGCAGTTTTCAGGGCCATGGTGCTTCGAGAATTTTCTCCAGATAACATCACTAAGGAGGGCACAGGATGTGAGGAAGCAACTCCTGGAGATCATGGACAGGTATCGGCTTGACGTTGTCTCTGCCGGCAACGATCTCACCAAGGTAAGGAGAGCCATTGCCGCAGGTTTCTTCTTCAACTCTGCCAAGAAGGATCCCCAGGGAGGATACAGGACACTTGCTGATCATCAGCAGGTGTATATCCACCCAAGCAGCGCCCTCTTTCATCAGCAGCCAGAGTGGGTGATTTACAATGAGATTGTCATGACCACAAAAGAGTACATGAGGGAGGTGACAGCCATCAACCCAGCGTGGCTCGTCGAGCTGGCACCAAGGTTCTACAGATCCGTGGACTCGGCAAAGATGAGCAAGCGGAAGCGCCAGGAGAGGATCGAGCCTCTGTACGACAGATACAACGAGCCCAACTCGTGGCGCCTCAGCAAGCGCCGTGGGTGATTTTTGTCGGTACATAAATTTGCTTCTTTCTTGGCACCTTTCTCCTTGCTGTAAGTTTGAGTAGTTATTGAAGTGTAAATACACAGTAAGCTCTCAGTATGATACTAGCAGTATAGTGAATAGTGGCACATCTATGTAGCTTTTCTTCTTTGTTTTGGTTTTTGGCTTGAAGTTGGAAGTCTTGTGAGGCTAGTTTGGTGTACGAATGCAGATAAGTTATTCCCATCACGAAGCTTTATTTTCCTTAATCGTGTATAACTGCTGAGTGGAACACTTTGAATTGCTATTATTCGCACTTGGTTTAGGCCTCGTTTGGCAGGCAAGTCTTGAGACCAGTTTGGTGTACCAGTATTGAACCGAGCAAACCCCAGAATTACTCGCCAAACCATGGTCATTGGCCTTCCTTGGTGTCTTTAGGGTCTATAAAGGAGTAGTATTGCAATTGGTAGTCGATAAGATGCACTTGGTCAGAGAGGTTAGCGATGATAAAGATATTCTTGTTATGTGCTTTTATAATCAGATGGCTCTGTGAGCATTATGTTGAAGAATTTGAGCTCAAGTGCTACCACCTTCCTGATCCACATTACTAGACATTGCAATTGTCCTTTTTTCCATAGTGTTGTCCTTTTTGTTAGATGATGATCCGATGCCAGACATATGAATTGTTAGTTGCTAGGGCTGTTGATTCTAAAGCTAGTATATGATAGAGATAACTGGTTCCAAAGTCCCTTGAACATAAAATGAATTGTTGTTGCTGAACTCAGTCTTTCATCAATTTACTGGTGAAGCTCCAGTGCTGCAAGCGTATTCTTGCAAGCTACTCCCTCCGTCTCATCATGTAAGACGTTTTTTGACTCTATTGTAGTGTCAAAAAACGTCTTACATTATGGGACGGAGGGAGTATTGGATAACCTAGGAAATGCCTTTTGACTGTATCATTTATGCTCTTCAGATCACTATCTGGAATGCTAGTCCTGAACCTTGTATGCTGTTTTTTTTTTTTTGGAACCTTTTATGCTGTGTTCAATTTAATACAGCTAATCAGAAGTTCAGGCTTCTTGACTAAAACAAATCAAGGAATTTTAACCTTTTATCAACAAGTCATACCAAGTCTACGCGAAAAACAAGTCCAAATTGCAAACTTGTATACGAAACTAGAAACAACTCAAGACTTCCTCCTAATGTAGCCCATAGCATGTTCTAGCTACTGTCCAATCAGATTTGGCACAACATGTTGTTCGATTGGCATTCTCTCTCTGGCTGTGCGTCTTGTGTATCATAGATTCACATAGAAGATAAAGAAGAACATTTCATGGACTTATGCAACCAGAATTGTACTGTCCTTCGTGTGGCTACTGTTTTCAGGCGAAGTAATTTACTGCAGAGGAGAGCTGCTGTGTGTTGGCAGCATTATACTCCGTGGTACATACACCAAAGTGATGACAAAATACTTGAACACTACTTGACCACTAAGATCAGATTGCTGAAGCGCTACTTCCTGATTGCTGCTCAGTACAACATATTCCAAGTTTCTGTATACTGCTGACTGCTGAGATTATCGGGAGAGTGACCAAAACAGCCAAATCATGATGCATGGCACACAACAAAAAGTGGGGAAACCGGATAAGGGGAATGGGGACATCTTCCTGGAACTCCCGTCTTGCGCTTATATTATTAACATTGACGACCTGTAATTATGTTGCTATACAGTGATGATCTTTATATCAATGGAAAGACTGAAGCAGAAGTATTCAGAAACTGGATGGTGCCATCTGGTGTCAGGAGTCAGTAGTCATCGAAGTAGCAGGGCATTGGTTCTTCTTTCCTAGACTTGCGCCTACTGAGCAGCGACTTGAGGAACTTCTTGCTCTTCTTCGGAGTCTGCTCGTTTTCCTTGGGATCATCTTTGTATCTATCAGCATATGACCGCAGCGGTGCCAATCTCTTGGGATCTGAAGTTGTCTGCATTTTCAGCAACATGAAATATTGTGTCAGTGCTGTAAGGCATATCATCCCTGGTAATCTTGTGTTCACAAGCCAGCTTGATTTACCTGGACCCTGACACTTGATGTCTTGAGCAAGGATGGCTTCTTTGAGAGTGACCCAGACCTTGTGAGTGGAGTTGTCGAAGAAATTGGTGAATCCGATCTTTTATCTGTTTCACAGAAACAAAATTGGCCACAGAACATTAGTATATTTAATTAATCGAGAAATTTTACTGTCGTACCTCCATCAGTTGTTGATTGGACTTATTACTACTATACCTCTTTTGGTGGGTATTGCAGTATCAGAAGGTGGCACGAAGCGTGTATGCTGCGCTGGAGAGGATGAACGTGCACGCTGGGAAGGTGCACGGGCAATCGACCGGATCTTGCTGCAAATGGTAACTTTCAGTTTGGCGACTCAGCGGCAAAGTAAGAAACCCAAGCTGACTTTTGTGGTTTGCAAAGTGAAACTGACCGGAATGAAGTTTGCTTGTCTTTGCTTTTTGTTTGAGCTGCGGATGTTGCTGCCAACATGTAGGCATTTCAGGTCAAAATCGAGTTTAAGATATATATCCAATACATGTCGGCCATTTTTCATGGATTGCAGATCCTTACTACTGAAGGCCGGATGCATCTGCGTAGTCCTGTTCTTGACCTTATTCATCTCGCTGAAGTTGGGCACAGCATCGGGAATTGAATCATTTCCTGCTGAAATCACGTGTGCAAGGGATCAAGATGTCTCCCCCAGGTTGACTCTTACTCGCTTGTCTTGCATCTTGAATGTGCCGACAAGCTAGAAAACAGAGTCACAGGAAAGGCATGAAGATATCTTATGCCTACGTACCTGGTAAGATGTACCTCTTATGATACTTTGGCGCGGTGATCACCAAAGATTGCTGCGTCAGGCCTTCTCTGTTCATGCATGCTTGGCTCATTTGAGTTCTCTGAAACCAGCCACTTCGTTAATCCGAAGCAATATTACAAGGAGATTAATGCTGAAACTAACTAAAACCTGCTGGATGCAGGAGACCCGCAGATTGGCTTCGGCCACCTCGTCGAACCTTTGACCTACAAGGCTGGAGACTTTGAAGGATATGGACCCTAGGTGGTCTACAGTGTTGACGAGGGCCTTCACAGCGTACTCCTTAAGGTTACTCACCACCCTGTGTCCATATGCATACACATAAACAAAAAATGAGCGAACGGGAGGAAGATTTCTGCTGATTAGCTACATGATCTTGTGCAGCATACAGGATGAAGCAATGGGTATATGACATACGCCTGCTTTACATCTTCCTGTGTGTAGGCTAGTTCGAAATACTCCGCTGCAGAATATAGTTGCAACCGCAGAGTCTTGAGATCCTGCATAGAGAGGTTGCCGTTGATATGAAAATGCCCAAGCTACATCTGTTCCAAATGCCTAATTTGGTGCTATTTTTAAGCATTTGGGCGTCGAGTTGGTTCTAAAGGTGGGAGGGAAGATGCATCATTGTAGGGGAAGAGAGAGAGAGAGAAACACGAGCATAATTTGATTGATAATAAAAACTGACCTTGATGGTTTCAGAGAAGATGAATGTCTCCCCCATCTGCACCTCCTCCGGAGCGCCGCGCATCCCTGGGTCGGCGGCGGCGCCTCTGCTCCGGAAAGGCCCCACTGCTTCCACCATTCTGGCTAACCAACCCTCTGTTCCTTTGCCTCTCTCAAGTCTCGTTTGATCAGGAAGCTGGATGGGGGGAGTATAGGATGTTATGGCGATGGTGGTGCAGAAGTGGAGAAGCACTCATGGCGATGAATTCATGGAGCCGGGAGGAAGAAGGCCGCGGGGGTTAGTCATTAGCACGACAGGTATTTGTTTAACTAGTGCTGGAAGAGTGGCTGTGGTGATGGCCCGGCAACGGCAGAAACAGCTTATAATAATGCCATGCAAGGCAAGGCAAGGCAACAGGAGACCTACCCTCTTTTCTAGGCAATTAAGGCAACAGGAGACCTGTGAATCTGTGATAAGATAACAACTGCTCCAGTCACTCTACTGGATGTTGACTGCATATGTAGGACTGCGTACTTAACTAGTTATATTATCAGCTAGTCTACTACATGTACCCCGCGGCTATGGTGGTAATCCATTTCCATGTAGATCAAGGAGCAGGTGACTGACAGGCAAAGCACTGCAGAGTGAAGTGAAGTGAAGTCGGTAGGGCTAGGCACTGAGTTAACCACATCTGGTCAGTTGGTGAAGATGCTTTTGGCACACAGTGTGCATCCATCCAGGTAACCAAAAGGCTCAAATCAAAAGAAAAGAGAGAAGTCAGGATGAGATTTGGTTCCGGACACTCGGTTGCTTTCTTTTCTTTCCATGTAGTGTTCATCATTTCTGCCTCCACGCATATGGGCCCGCCCTCCTCATGACCATACTGCTGGTCTCATCATAATCACAAACTCTAAAGATGCTCTTCTCAACAACAACCCCAGCTTACTGATATCAATCCTTCACTAAATGTGTGCAGGGCTGGGGAAGGTACCTCCTTCACTAAATGTGTGCAGGGCTGGGCATGCACCCACAGGATCCAGAAGAAGTGCTTTGCTTTCCCGTAGTACAGTATCATATAGGCTCAACTCCAAGCAAGAACCTTGGGGGATTAACTAGTGGTATTTCCTCTGTCTGGGACATGATTGGCTTTCGCCTTGATTAAGCAAAGTCAAAAGTGCTCTGTCCTCTGTGTCTATCGCCCATGGATGCAACTAGTATATTGTTTCATGGCAGCTGTGTCTGGTTAGGCCAACTCCACCGCGCGACCCCATCCTGTCCGGGCCCGTCCGTTTGGGGTAAACAGACAAACGGAGCGGTCCAGCGCGGGGGAGCAAACGGACTTTTGTCCGTTTTGTGCCCGCTTTCGACCCATCCGCGGTCCAAGTTTGCGCCGCTTTTGGGGTGAAACGGACACCATGCGGACGCGCCGGCCGTCTGCGCGTGTCCTCCCCTGGCCCGCCCGTCGGTGGTACAGGACGGGCCTTTTTTCTTTTGAACTTTGACGGGCCTTTTTCTATCCACCCCCCTCCCTCCCTCCGGCCGCATCTCACTCCACTCTTCTCCACTCTTTCCCTCGCCGCCGCCGCCGCCCGCTGCCATTGCAGCCGTGCAACTCGGACGCGCGCTCGCCCAGCCCCTTCCCCTCGTCGCCGCCAAGCTACCCAAGCACGGCCACCTGGTTTGCGCACCCGCTGACCGGATTTGGGGCGGATCCGGTCGGTCTTGAGCTCTCCCGGCTGTGGGAGGCCGGGCGCGCCATGGACTGGCCGAGCACCTCGCCGGAAGGCCCTGGCAGGGCCACAAGGCCACATGCAGGCAGTGGCTCGTCCTCTAGCCGCTCGGATCTGCACTGTCGGTGGTCCGCCAGCAGATACGGGAATGGCGGCCGGCCGGGCTCGGTGCTTGCCCAAAAGCTCGTCGGCGCACCGTTGCCCCTCATCAAGTGCGACCACTGCCCAAGGGTGATCGTGCACCGTGTGTCTACAACGCCGGAGCATCTCGGATGGGTGTTCATCAAGTGCTTAAATGATGGGGTATGTGCTCTTTTTAGCTTTGGTTTGTGCTCTTGGATTAGACTAGTGGTGCTAACTTTAAGTTTTATTGTGTAGAATGGATGCAAGTTTTGGTATTGGAAAGAAGAGTACATCGATATATTGATAGAGCGAAATGTAGTACATGTTCGTGCACTTTTAGCTGGCCTAGAGGCTTTAGATGAGACAAGTGCACTTGTTGCTAGATTAGAGGCTAGGCACGATACTACGTGCGAAGAAGCAACAAGGCGCGATACTACGTGTGAGGAAGCAACGTCGACTTCTGGCTTGAAGGAGAAAGGAGGGTGCAAAGTCGAGCCTCCTCCACAGATCAACAATGAGTGCATCGAGAAGGCCCTAACTCAAGTCAAGGGAGCGGTTATGGAAGTTGGGTATCTTCTCAAATGTATTCTTGTGGTTCTTGTTTTCTTTGGCCTTACTTTACTAGTCAAAATGTAATGATGTATTGTCATGTACCAAAAATGAATGATAAAAAAAGTTTAAGGATTTGCAAAGAAATATGCACACAGACAAGATGCGGCCGGGATGCGGCCGCGCACTGGGCGCACGGCCACCGCATCCCGGAAACTGTCCGGACATGACCCCATTGTCCTACCCAAACAGACAGAATCCGGACAAAACGAACGTCCGTTTGGGGTCAAGCGGTGGAGTTAACCTTATTGCTTTTACACTGCCTGGGCTGGGGCAACGGCTCGGGAATCTGGAGCCTGCATGTGTGCCGCTGATTCATCAGAAACTGGCGCACATCGCGCCGGATCAGCAGGCATACGTGGTGCTGGATAAATACTCCCTATGGATAGGTTGTATGGAAATTGTAGTGCTTCTACTTGTGTTGTAGTGAGGGAATGTCAGCCAAGACGCAAATAAAAATTGTCTATGTTTCAGTTGCTCGTGTTTTTTTGTTTGAGTTGCTCTTGTGTTGTTTTAAGAAGAAAAGGGCTCCTGCCCCGGATCCATTTCAACGAAACCAAACCAAACACAGTATCACTTATTACAGCACGCGAGGGGAGACTGCATGTCAACTCTAGCCAAGTCTACCAGAACTAATAAAATGACATGGTTCAGGGGAAACATACGCCCCAGAACACAAGAATGAAGACAGATGAGGATGGAGAAGGATTTTGAGGGGATTGAGTGATGATGAGAGTTGAGAGTGTTTTCGCCAAATTAACGATCTCAGTAATACTACATGCTAACACACTGCTGCCAAACTGCGTACTCCCTCAACTATGTACTAAATGAACAACACTTATTTTGGCACGTAGTACTTTAATGTCAGCCCTGTGCCACCAATGAGGCATCTCTTTTCTCATCCACAAGAAAAGCTCTTCTCCTCCTGTCGGCGCCGCCGCTGGTCCGTGGGGTAGTGTGGTAGCGGTGATGTCCATTAGTAAAAATAATGTCCCCCACATTCTATCCCCGTCCTGATGGTGCGTCTAGCATTGTTGGAGGGCGTGTGGAGGTTTGTCTACGTCGGATCTTGTGGGATTCGGTCGGTGCTGGTCTTTGATAGATCTGTTTGGATCCGGTTTTTGTTCGTCTTCGTTTGGGTGTTTACATGTTTGATCTTTCTGATCTATGACTTTCTTCATCAGCGATGGTTGCTACTCTGGTGCGCTGGTTCTATGGGACCTTAGCACGACGATTTTCTGACTGTCTATTACAACAAGGTTTGTCGGGTTCCGATGAGTGAGGGGTGATGAAGCCGGCACGCTTTCGGCTCGCTTCAGTGCTTGTAGTCGTCGCTAGGTGGTCCACAGATATGGTTGTAATTCTTATTATCTTTGTTGTTCTTTTGTACTATCATGATTGAAGATAAATAGGTGGGAAGTTTCTCGAAAAAAAATGTCAGCCTTACGAGACTAGAGGATATGGAACTGAATGTGAATTGAGGATAAGGGTGGTGTCAAAAATTCAGGTCCCGTGACCAACAGTTGCAAAGTATGCCGCGAGATTGCAAGTTTGCACTTGTCTCTGTCACCTATTCCCCTCAGGCCTTATTCGGGTAATCCTCCTCCCAAGGGGATTGAAGAGGATTGGAAGTGATTTTGGCTTGTAGAGGGTTTAATCTGTAACGCCCCGGACACATCCGCCGGTGATCGTTACTCCTGGCAGAATCTAGACTGGCCCCTACGCACTTTGTCCTCACTCGTGCGCACCCGGAAGCAACTTCCTGGTCGGTCACCCATCCTAAAACTACTCCAAGCTGAGCACGCTTAACTTCCGAGTTCTGTCCGATGAGCTCCCAGAAAAGAAGGAATTCCTTATTGATATGAGTAGTCTATCATCCCTAATAATCCAGGCTATCACATAATCCCCCTCAATCCCTGTCATTCCCCTTCAAAATCCACCTTAACCGAACAAGGCCTCAAGGTTTGGTGAACAATGCGATCAAGTTCAGGGTTCAAGAGCGAGTGACATACCACCTCCGATTCTGATTCGGAATACAGGAGATTTCACAATAGATGTTGTAGGGATATGGAACAATTCCTAGAACTACACAGCACCAACTTCCTGTTGATTGATTAGCTTGTCAGAAATATAACTTTGCTATTCATCACATGCACACAGGACCAGCATAAAAAGGAGTCACAAGTACCTGTGCATTATCAGGTTTAAGAAAGAAACACTCTGGACGAGGAAATAATTAACATGAATCAGATATATCTCCAGATTTTTCTTTTTCATTTCAGTCTGTTTCTAATATCGCAGCTACAAAGCCTTACACCATGTAACTTACGCGTTTAGTTTCCACACCAGTTTTACCAAAATTGTGCTCTTGAAGGTAAGCCGTAGCATCAACGCTAACAAAATGAACACCGCAGCGCAGAGTGATGAGTTAGTGACCTAAAGGACTTATATGAGCAATTCTCCTCTGGTTCTGCAAAAAAGATCAAATAAGCCTTCCAAGGAAATATCATGATCTCTGCCGAAACTGCTGGCATCTTTCACTATATGCAGTCTCTTCTATGTCTCTGCTTTCGAGTAATTGATCGACCCAGGCGAACCCGTCGCACGGTGAGAGCGTCTAGCAAGATATCCAGCGAGCACTCTACTGCCTCGGCTTGCTCTTCCAGTTTAAACGCGCTGAGCTCAGGCCGCATGTGCAGTTCTGAGAGGAGGCCGGCTGCGGCTGCTGCAGTGCAGGTACGATCCCATGCCGGCTGAGGTCTGTTTTACGGAAATATATCAGCAAAAGTAAGAGTAAGAGACGCGAAGAAAACCACCGATAAAGACACAAAAAAGTTTAGTTTTTAGCTCACCGCAGTTTATGCATCACCGAGGCGCTCAGCATAGACAGTGAGATACAAGGTATATCTTCCTCCCCCCATATTGCAGCCCATCTCTCCTATAAACATCAGATTATTAGGACCCACTTAGCTGCTTGTCAATTTTAACATGCTTTATTATACACTCCTGCTTAACACTGTGACTTTAACCTAGAGGTGTGAACTGGTGACCCCTGGGGCACCCTCTAACCCTCTACAGTTCAACCAAATGAATTAAGTTTCCAAAATTACAGGATCCAGGCAGAATCTGCTCTCCTCTGCACCCCAAATGACAACAAATTGTGGTTTCCCCTTGCTTGTCTAATGGGAGTAGACAATCACATGGAAGAAGGAAAAAGATGAAGCTTATCTGAACGGCCAAACTAGTTTGTTTTATGCAAACCAAGATTACATCAATATGGGAACAAAGATTTTTCAGGAGGAACTGGACACAAACTAATAGGAGTGCAGTATGCTAAATGAGGAATGCACAGAATCATACCTTCAGCCTTCTGTATAATGCAGCAGAATTACTCCAGGTACCATCAAGCAAAACTAAGTTAAGAGGTTCATGTTGCACTCCCTATATTGCAGAAGTTAACTCGTTACCATCTACTAATACATACCAACAGCCACAGAATACACGCTTAAAGACAAGAAATACACACTCCCTCCTGAAGGCCAGCATTCATGGTAAAATCATCAAATTTAAGATCATTGACAGACTTGGGGGTTGCACTCTTGTTTGGGTAGAGAAATGAGACCTTCGCCTTTCCTGGAGGGCAAACCAGAAAGGAAATACAGTATTTAAATGTGAAGAACATGGATAATCATACACATCCATATGGTTACAAAATTAATTACTGAAGCAATCAAACAGGATATTTCCCCTAAAGAGTAATTAAATGGGATCCACAGAAAATTTCATTCCTAGTAAAATGATCCAAGCATTGATACTTGCAATATGCATTTTTTGTGTGAAACATCAACTTCTGAAGTTCTGCCGTGATCAATCAATGCAACTGGAACAAAGGATTCAGTTCAATAGCTATACAGATTAGCTGAAATCCAGTGCATCAGTAGACTCACTCACAGTAATTAAAAAAAAAAACTAATGGAAACAGAAAAGGAACAGAAACAACACAGAATTCGGTACAAACAATCCACTAATTGAGTCACAAAACAAAAGGTAGCCTTGGATGTCATTTGCTCAATTTCAAGCTGTTAAGGATGTGGGATAAAAAACAGCAAGAGGTAGAGCGGCTACTGTTTGCACTGATTACTGTAGCATCCATATATGTAAGGATGGAGCATCAACTAAACAAAGAACAAGCAAGATTTCTAGTCTCTCCCCGTCATTTCAAATAGACCATAGAGCCTCCCTCCAGAGCAAAGGAGGAGAGCCCTGCTAGCAGGCAGAAGCGCCTGATCTCGGATCCATACCAAACAGTCCATACTACGCAAATAAAGTAAATCGAAGTAAACATAGCGAGTGAACCTATCAGAACAGACATGGTTAAGGCCTACAAGCTCTGGTCCCAAGCAAGAATCCACATGTTTGTTTATCTAAGGTGGGTTTGAGATTACCTGAACGCTGGAATGCATCCCACATAATATCTTCATGCTCTTGGATGCCAAAGAGGCACAACGACGCAGCTTGGATGCCAAAGACTTGCCAGAGTAACTTTCCAGTGTTGTTTTGCCGCAAGAAGTCCTGAAAGAACAGAGATGCTTGCACAATCCAAAGAAAGGACATGGCAACAAATACAGCTTTCTATCTTTAGACAGACCTTTGGATGCATGTATAGCCAGAATCTTATCCCCCTCCACAAATTGCAAGGGGCGAGTTTTGAGCACATACAATCTTCCATTGGTAGCCAACACTGCAGTTTTGGAGGTCAACACATCAGGCAAACTCTTGAAATTAAGATGGTGAATGGAAGGTAAATGTATGCAAAAATAAGCTTCAGTTCAGTAAACCATTGAACACAGGTTGCTGCATTGTGTATATATATAACACTGAATTCTTTTACGGACTCGTACGCTACCTTCTGGCACAGGTACCCCCTGCTCCCGAGCAGACGGCAACCAATCTGCCGGGCGGAGTAGTACTGCAGCTTCTGGTCGGAGTCGGCGAGCGTCTCATAGACGGCCCTGTGCTTCCTGTCCTCCACGTCCTTGAAATCGCCCTGCAGGTTGAGAGAAAAGTCGAGTCGTGATTTCGCTAGCAGTCCCGTGGATTCAATCCCTGCCATTTCGAGCACGGAGGCAGCCATGACCTCAATAGATCCGGTAGGGGGGTTAAGAAAAAGGGCGTTACCTTCAGCTTGGAGCCGACGCCGCCAAATCGCATCTTCTCACCGGCCACGGACTCCATCTCGAGCAGCTGGCGGACGACGGAGGCCACCACGGTCGGGAGGGGCGAGGAGGTGCCCCATCGCTGCCACTCCTCCGAGCTCACCTCGCCGCCGCCTCCTCCGGCGCCGGCGGGCCCGGGGAGAGCCTCCTCCTCCGCCTCTTCG